TCTGTGTGTGTATGTATCTGTATCTGTGTGTGTATGTATCTGTAGCTGTGTATTTATCTGTAGCGGTGCATATCTGTGTATTTATCTGTAGCGGTATGTATCTGTATCTGTGTGTGTATTTATCTGTAGCGGTGTGTGTATCAGTGTGTGTATGTATCTGTATTTATCTGTAGCTGTGTGTATCAGTGTAAGTGTGTGTGGGGTCCCTACCACACACGGTTGTTGTTAATGATAAGTGACTTGAGCCTCCTGAGCAGAGGGAATCCGTCGATCTTGCGGATCTCATTGTCCGAGAGGTCGATGGTGTCGAACTGATCCAGAGTCGCTCCAAGGTTTTCGATCACCGGGATCTTATAGCCTAGGGGTCAAGGGTTAGCACCTTCAGCATCAATATTACACAACCCTCCTCACCACAACACCACCGCCACCATCATCACTGCAATAATTATTAGGCATCATTGCTATCAACAGAGTAACCGAATTCACTTTGATCACCCTTCTCACCACAACCACTTTTATCACCATCATAATTACATTCATCAGCATCACAATCGCCACAATTCTCACCACCAACTTTTCACTATTACCGCCATCAGTACTGCATAATAAGCACCTTACAAATAATCGCCTTCGTAAATAACATCGTGTTATTATTACCGCCAACACAAGCAATGTCACACCACGTTAACGTCACCAATAACCATCTCATTACCGGCATTGCCTCAAATTAATCCCTCCCTTTTCAGTAACGCCAAAGTGCGGCCAACCTACACACCTGGGGCGAACGTGACCGTGCCACACTGTGGATGCGGCAAGCGACAATGTGGCACACTGCCTATCAGTGCTCCCCCCCCGGGACTGGACACAAGACGGTGGTATTTGGCCTACTTTTCCACGCTGGTCAAGTCTTGGAAGCGGTGGGAATACCCACACTCTGCCCGAACGTATGGCACCTTCCAATCGACAAACTGTCCAGCACCAATTTCCACTCCCTGGGTCGACAAAGAGTCGGGAGGGGGTGATTTAAGGAACGCGTGATGATGATGATGAGAGAGAGAGACACGCAAACTCCAAATATACAGCAGCAGTCGTCAGGGTTGGGATCGAACTCACGACCTCCTGCACACCAGGCGAGGTAGTTAACATCTCCTAGCCACCGTGATGATGATGAGAGAGAGAGACACGCAAACTCCAAATATACAGCAGCAGGCGTCAGGGTCGGGATCGAACCCACGACTTCCTGTACACCAGGCGAGGTAGTTAACATCTCCTAGCCGCCGTGATGATGATGAGAGACACGCAAACTCCAAATATACAGCAGCAGGCGTCAGGGTCGGGATCGAACCCACGACTTCCTGTAGACCAGGCGAGGTAGTTAACATCTCCTAGCCGCCGTGATGATGATGAGAGACACGCAAACTCCAAATATACAGCAGCAGGCGTCAGGGTGGGGATCGAACTCACGACCTCCTGCACACCAGGCGAGGTAGTTAACATCTCATAGCTACCGTGATAATGATGAGAGAGACACGCAAACTCCAAATATACAGCAGTGGTCAGGGTGGGGATCGAACCCACGACCTCCTGCACACCAGGCGAGGTAGTTAACATCTCCTAGCCACCGTGATGATGATGAGAGAGACACGCAAACTCCAAATATACAGCAGCAGGCGTCAGGGTGGGGATCGAACCCACGACCTCCTGCACACCAGGCGAGGTAGTTAACATCTCCTAGCCACCGTGATGATGATGAGAGAGACACGCAAACTCCAAATATACAGCAGCAGGCGTCAGGGTGGGGATCGAACCCACGACATCCTGCACACCAGGCGAGGTAGTCAACATCTCATAGCCACCGTGGCGTTCTGGACTATCCCGTTTGATACTCGCTCAACATCAGTGGCCATCGATGAACTCGGGCAAGTTCGATTCCCGAATAAGGCGAACATCGGTGGCGAGAGAGATAATCTGTTGAGTCTTGGCCACCGCCTCCACCGAAACCGTGGCGACCAGCGCGGTGAAGTATGTGAACCTCCCCCACCACCACCACCACCACTATCGACACGGCCGGCGTTTCATCCAGCAGTGGATTACCAACACCACACAGCCGTCTACGATTGCCAAGTGAAACTTCCACGTGGCCGAGAACCCGCGAACGCACGAAAACGCTCACGCCACTGCGAGCGGCTACTTTAAACAAAAAATCAACCCCCGAAACAATTGCACACTTTAAAAACAACAGCACCCCTCCTCCACAACGTTATTCTATCGAAAAAAAACACTTCAAAGCCGCACTTTTCTTTAACAAACACAAAATTAATGTTAAAAACTGCGGGCCTTGGCTTTCGCGAGAAGCCTGCCGTCGCCTAGCCGCCCTCCCCGCCGCCGTCACCTCTGAGGTCCAGTTCCCGGTCGCGCACGGGGTTCGTGAACTGCGCCGCCTGCTCGATCAGCTCCGCCGTGAGCTTCACCATCGCGAGGTGGTTTCTTTAGAGCGCTCTGACTGACGCCGACCACGACGATTCGGGTGGTTTTCGTGTCGGAAAAGTGCGAGAGGCCTTTCAATTCGATGGCGCGCAGCGTGGGCCCAAGTCTCGCGAGACTCCCGTTGCGGTCTTCCGGTCGTTTTTTTTATTTATACCGGTAGACCGCTTACTCGTCTTCCGGAAGAGGAAGTTGTCTTCCGGAAGATTAGGAAGACGTCTTCCGGGAAAGATGAGGAAGACGTCTTTCGAACTTCTGGAAGACGTCTTCTATGGGAACCGGTTCCGTATCTCTTAACATGGCCCCATAGAATTCCTATGGGAACCGGTCCCCTATCTTTTAACATTGCCCCATAGACTTTCTATGGGAACCGGTTCCCATAGACTTTCTATGGGAACCGGTCCCCTATCTCTTAACATTGCCCCATATACTTTCTATGGGAACCGGTCCCCTATCTCTTAACATTGCCTCATAGACTTTCTATAGGAACCGGTTCCCATAGACTTTCTATGGGAACCGTTTCCCTATCTCTTAACATTGCCCCATTAACTTTCTATGGGAACCGTTTCCCTATCTCTTAACATTGCCCCATAGACTTTCTATGGGAACCGGTTCCCTATCTCTTAACATTGCCCCATAGACTTCCTATGGGAACCGGTTCCCTATCTCTTAACATTGCCCCATAGACTTCCTATGGGAACCGGTTCCCTATCTCTTAACATTGCCCCATAGACTTTCTATGGGAACCGGTTCCCTATCTCTTAACATGGCCCCATAGACTTTCTATGGGAACCGGTTTCCTATCTCTTAATATGCCCCATAGACTTTCTATGGGAACCGGTTCCCTATCTCTTAACATGGCCCCATAGACTTTCTATGGGAACCGGATCCCTATCTGTTAACATGGGCCCATAGACTTTCTATGGGAACCGGTTCCCTATCTCTTAACATGGCCCCATAGACTTTCTATGAGAACCGGTTCCCTATCTCTTAACATTGCCCCATAGACTTTCTATGAGAACCGGTTCCCTATCTCTTAACATGGCCCCATAGACTTTCTATGGGAACCGGTTCCCTATCTCTTAACATAGCCCCATAGACTTTCTATGGGAACCGGATCCCTATCTGTTAACATGGGCCCATAGACTTTCTATGGGAACCGGTTCCCCATCTCTTAACATTGCCCCATAGACTTTCTACGTCTGACCCCCCTCCCCCCTTGGTGCGTGACGTCATTTATGGACGGCCCTATCACGTCAATATCTATGTTTTATGACGTCATTGATCGCATCGCGTGACGTTGCATTCGCGTGTTACCATTTGATAAATGACGTCATCAACTGAACTACCCTTATGACGTCATTATCCATGTTTCACTACGTCATTGAACGCAACGCGTGACGTTGCATTCGCGTGTTACCATTTGCTAAATGACGTCATCAACTGAACTACCTTTATGACGTCATTGTCCATGTTTTACTACGTCATTGAACGCATCGCGTGACGTCGCATTCGCGTGTTACCATTTGCTAAATGACGTCATCAACTGAACTACCCTTATGACGTCATCATCCATGTTTCATTACGTCATTGATCGCATCGCGTGACGCTCCGGAGGTCAAAAGTGCTTCCATTCTCCTGTCGTAGTAAGTGAGTCTCCGTCTCCTCGTGTCGTCCCTGTGTCTCCCTAGGATGTTTACGGGAGTCCCATGGCCTCAGGGGGACGCATTGGAGCCAAAATTTGCGGCTTTGGGAGAAAAGACCCCCCCCCTCATTCCCGCCAAACGAGAAAAAAAACGAGCGGCCTAGTGTGAAGCCTGCCTCGCCTGTCAGCGCTGCCGGGATTTAGTGGCCTCGCCCGGCACGGCCCGAGGCCAATACCGAGGGTCGGGGTCTTGGGACTTTTTTGCTGCATGTTGTTGTGGGTTTAAAACAAGTGTCCGTAATGTATCCCCTTGATCTGTGCTGGACGTTCCACGTTTACTGTGGCCCGAGGTGGGAGGAAAGTCATTCCATTGCAATCAGATGTTGTTCGTGGTGGTTGATACTCGATTTAGCGGCCCAGAACACATGCCGATGGTGATGGATGCTTTGATGGTTGTTGATAGCGGTGTTGATCACTGGCGTTGATAACTAATGATGGTTATGGCTGGTGTTCATGATTACAGACCGGTTCAAGAACCAGCTTGCAGTACTGCCAGGTTCGATGGTTTAAAAAAATGTTTTAATTGCAATTAACTGTATATGCCTAAAATAAGTTAAAATGTATGGACGCTTATTTTTAGGTTTTTTCGGTAAAGTCACGTAGGTAAAACATTAAAATTAATAAAAAATAAAATAAAAATCACGACTAGATACAGCTGTCGTGGCTGTGACGGTTCCACCTGAAGACGGAAGCTTGTGTTGCCTCCGAAACGTCGTGATTTTTATTTTATTTTTTATTAATTTTAATGTTTTACCTACGTGACTTTACCGAAAAAACCTAAGAATATGAATCCTTGCAGTCACGAAAGCTTCAAATCTAGAATGTATGGACGCTGCCTCGGTTGGACAGTTCGCACACTGAACTTGCAAGCCAGAGATCGCCTCTTCAATTCAACATTTTGGCGCGACATTTGAAACGGTGGGTGCAAGTTCCTTAAAACGACCCACCACGTCTGTCCACCCAAAACGTCGTGGCGAGTGTGGAAGAGTAGGCCAAATACCCCCTCCAGAGAAGAACATTCTGCTAGGATGGCATAAGTAGTTGTAGAGATGCACCTCGGGCTAATTGAGTGACCCAAAACTGTACGCACACAAAAAAACAAGACGAGAGCACATACAAAACAAGTATAACCTGTAAAAACAAAGTTTTTCACTATAAATCCTTTATATGCGTGGCGGCTAGAGGCCTCTCGTCCTCTGGCTTGAGATGGCTGCCACCTATGGGTCAGATGATTGCATTGCACCATTAAGCAATTGGTAATTAAATATAATATTTTTGTCCTAAAAAGTGTAAAATTTTGGAGAAAAAAAATTTCACGAACATTAATTGTCACGCACAACGAACCTGTGTGCAAAATGTCAGCTCGATTGGATCACGGGAAGTGGGTTAAAAAACGACCGAAAGATTTGCACGGTCGTAAGCAAGCAAGCGAACTTAATATAAAGGATTTAAAAAATCAATCTTGAATTGCGAAAAAAAAACATTTATTCACTTGGCAACTCAATCGATTCCATGCCCGTTGGGCACCCACCAGACCAGTTCCGCTGGGAAGGTGAGTGGGCTGGGTGTGCCCATCATCAGGAGACTCACCGCTGATGCAGGAACCAACTGGCAGTGCATTCCATTTCTGAGTGTCTCTCTGTGTCAGTGTGCTCCTTTGTTAAGTGTGCGTTTCCGTGCGAGTCTGTTGGTCTCGTATGTGTCAGTGGTTTCTTCTCGTAAGTCTTTGTGTCTATAGGGCTCTGCAAATCTATGGGTCTCTGTGGCTGTTGGTCGCTATGTGTCTGTGGTCCCCAGTGCAAGTCTATGGGTGTGTGTGTCTTTAGGTTTCGGTGTAGGTCTGTTAGTTCCTCGTTGTCATGCAACATATTTCACCATTGCCCATCCTGCCCCAGAAATTCGATATTACTATTCAGTGTCGCAGTTATATTCAATGTTTTGTTTGGCTTGTTTTGTTCATGTAATTATTCCTGTCTGTAATGTCCCCATTTTCCCCATTAGTCTAAATGTGCATTGGCACGTAATTAATATAAATTGTAATGATCAATCTTTAGATTCGCGTATCATAATTGATTAATTTGTGTGTTGTTACATGCTGAGATTGTCAACAAATTGGCTTGCTCAGATGACTCAAGTGCAGTGAGTTAAGTGATTCTCAACCCAGTCACCATTGACTGTACCAAAATGAATCTCATTAAATGTGGTGCCACATTTAATTCAGTTTAACACGTAGGCTTTCGCGACCAATATTATTCATAATCAACGTTTTGGGGTTTAGATCGCGTTATTTATAAATGTGTCGTAACCCTCCACCACCCGACACGGCCAATCAGTAAAAAAGTGTCACGTTGACAAAAGACAAATAATTCACTGCTTTAGCCCACCGGTGTGTTGAAGCGTGAAACCACAACATTTACAATTTAAGTACGACGTTTTGCTGGTAATTGCATCCAGCATCATCGGGCAATTCGCCAGAATGGTGAGGCTCTGCTCTGTCTCCCGTTTTTATATAGAGCAGCAGCAGGGTGACGTCATCATTACATTTAATTTGTTTTAATTTCGGCGCCGAGGTTTAAACATTTTTTGTTTTAATGGCACGAACATTTCTCTCATGGCAAAGCAAGCAAGAAAACTCTCTCCTGTGCAGACCAGAGGTCACTTGATGGGCTCTCAGGAGGAAGCTCTCTGGGACCCGGTCCCACGTTCCCGTTGAGTTGCACGTTTCTGCGCGAGTTTGGAATGGATAAATCATCTCGTTCTAGATTTGAAGCTTTCGTGACTGCAAGGATTCATATTCTTAGGTTTTTTTCGGTAAAGTCACGTAGGTAAAAAATGTAAATTAATAAAAGTAAAATAAAAATCACGACGTTTCGGAGGCGGCACAAGCTTCCGTCTTCAGGTGGAACCTACGTGACTTTACCGAAATCATCTCGTGACGCGATGCTGAGAAGACAACATGGGTGACGGGGGAGGGGGGGAGGGCGGATAATTGCAAAAACTTACGTGATGCTCTCTCACCCCTTCCACTTCAGGCGGTGAATGTCAAACTCGCCAAGCGCAAACGTGGCCGAGCAGCGGAGCTCAGAGACGACGCCAGGAATGGAGGCGGTGAAAGAGGCGATTCAAGGTGAGGAGGAGGAGCAGGTGGAGAGGAGCAAGGAGGCGGAGAAGGAAAATAAAGAAGATGAGGACGAGGAGGGAGACGCGGGTTGCGACGACGATTACAATCGCCTGTTCGCCCATCGCTTCACCGCGGAGGACAAGGACTTCCAAGAATTTCTCAGCCGCCCGGTGGAGTTGCCGCCCGTCGTGTGGAACTGGAGGTCGCGAGGCGGTCGCAACGATCGCCGGTTTGACCGGTCAGAGCCTCGCACGTCATCGTTATCGTCTCCTCGTTTAGCCATCGGACGCAGCGTCACCGCCGCCGCCGCCACGTCGTTACCGTCATCATTTCATCGCATGTCCACAATCGCCAACATCGCCGTTCTCACCATCGTCATCAACATCTCATTATTGTCTCATCATTGGCTCATCACCACCACCACCACCTTATCGTAATTTCTTGGTTGTAAACCCATGATCATTCCGTCAACATTAAAAATGTGAAATGTCGATGATGGAATGATCAGCACTTTTAAATCTAGATTGAAAATGCATTTCTTTTTAACTGCTTTTTGTGTTTGTTTTTTTGTCCTGACCCTGCACCTCCCATTAGCACGATTGGCCACGTACGTCACCGTCACCGCCGCCATGTCGTTACCGTCTTCATTCCATCGTATATCCACAATCGCCAACATCGCCGTTCTATCATCTTTGTCTCGCCATCGTCATCAACATCTCATTATTGTCTCAACATTGGCTCATCACCACCACCACCTTATCGTCATTTCTTGGTTGTAATCCCATGATCATTCCGTCAACATAAAAAATGCAAAATGTCGATGATGGAATGATCGACACTTTTAAATCTAGATTGAAAATGCATTTCTTCTTAGCTGCTTTTTGTGTTTGTTTTTTTTGTCCTTACCCTGCACCTCCCATTAGTACGATTAACCACGTACGGTGTGAAAGAAGTTGAACGTACATGCACGCACACACACAACATCAACTCCTCGTTATCTCGCCCCCTCCTACCTACCCCCAGGCGTGACCGCGATGGCCGACGCGGCGAGGGCTCCGACGGGGGCTGGGGGCGCCACGGAGAGGGGGGACGCGGCTCCTATCACCGTGACGACCGTTTCAACCCGTACAGACGCAGCAACCCCCACCCGTACAGATGAGGGGGTGCCATGGCAACGGCCTGGTTGCCCCCCCGTCCCGCCCATCCCAGATCCTCGGCACCACCCCCGCGTTTTCCTAGCCTCCTCTCACCAGCATCCAACACTCATTCCCACGGTCCCACCCACCCCGGCTCCTTCACTTCTCCCACTGAACTCCTGGGCTTAGCCGACCTCATCCCTCGGCGTTGGGGAGGGTCGGGAGCGCGGTGCCGCTGACAAGCGGTAGCGCGTACGCCGCTCGTCGTACGTACGTTGTGTGCTGGAACTTCTTTCGCACCGTACGAGAGCAACCATGCTAATCCGGTGGCGTGCGGAGGAAATCCCAACGGCGGTTTCGAATCCCACCGGCCGCCCCGGTTATTACCGCGGCGTGTGCCGACTGTTTAAAACGCCGGCGCCGCCCGCCTCACGGCGGACGTCGAAAAATCCCGCGACGGCTTTCGTGGCGGCGGCGGCGGCGTTGGCGTTGCGGTCCGACCTTTTGGCAAAAAAATTGACCGCGGATCACTCGCGTGGGATTATTCGTGGCGAGCGTCGGTAGACGACCGAGCTCGCGCGCTCGTTGGTCGCGTTGGTTCTGGCTGCTTTCCCCGCCTGTCCGTCCGCGGTTTCCCGCGGGCCTCCGAGTGCTGCGCGCGTTCTGAATTGCGCATCGGAGGATTTGCAGCCTCGTGTCAACGACGCGGCGCAAACTTGACGCGTCGCGCGACCGTTGCTCGATGAACCCACCGGCACCTCCCTTCGTGTCACCGATCTCGTCAACAATCGCCGGGGGAATTCCTCACCTGGATGAGGGCGAGTTGAGGTTGTGGCCGGGTCTCACGATGATGACGTCGTGGGACGTGCAATGGGGGGGGGGGCCGTGTCGACACCGCTCGGATCTTGGGTGTCCTGCCCAAGGCCACTTTTTCCGTAGCGGCTCGAATTGCGTCTTTAACCTGCACACGGGTCTCTAATCCACGCGTCGTTCCTCCTCCGCCCCCTCTCAGAACGTTAAATTTCAAACGCACAGCTCTCTCTTTCAACGCCGGTCTTTTTCCCACCCTCGTCAGCTTTTGTTCCATTTTTTTTGGTTTTGGTTTGTTCGGTGACGATGTGTTTCTGGACCCCCAGGTGTCACAGCAGGTAGTGCGCACTGACCTTGTTCGTTTGTCTCCGATGATTGTTTTCTTTACTCTGCTTTGGTTCTTTCGGTAAAGTCACGTGGGTAGAAGTAAATAAATACAACCTTTCTCGCAACGAAAACGGCGTCATTCGTTACGTGCACGGGCGGCTAAAGGCCCGAACTGCTAACGCGACTTTTCGATTTAAAGCTTCTTTCGTGACTGTAGGGATTCATCTTCTTGGTTCTTTCGGTAAAGTCACGTAGAAGGGAAATAATAAAATAAAAAAAATAAAACATAATAAAATAATATATTTTATTATGTTTTATTTTTTTTATTTTATTATATCCCTTCTACGTCACTTTACCGAAAGAACCAAGAAGATGCTAACGCGACCTCAAGTTTCGGCCAACTCGCAAACGCGTGTAGATAGCGCCCCGGCCTTTGATCGTCATGCACAAGAACATCGGCAGTTCCTGAAGGAACAGTATTGTGGTGGTCCCCCTTGTCGTCATGCTACAGTCGATATAAATGTGACCGCCAGACGGCAGCGGCGATGCAGAGATAGACAACCATGGACCAGTTCCATCCTCACTGGGACTTATGACCACAGTGTAGTCGCATATCAGTACGGTTGGCTACGTACGGCGCGAAAGAAGTTCAACGTACGCATCGCGTCAGTCGGGTCAATTTGCTGAAATGTATTTTGATGGTAACCTCGGTGGAATGAGAGGACCACAATGCAGTTCATCAGGAAATGCTGATGGATGTTTGCATATTGCACGACGTTTGTATGGGCGCTGTTTACCAGAGGTGGGACAAAGTCATTGTTATGCAAGTCCAAGTCGAGTCTGAAGTCATCAAATTCATGACTCGAGTCTGACTCGAGTCCAAGTCACATGACTCGAGTCCACACCTCAGAGGTGGGACAAAGTCATTGTTATGCAAGTCCAAGTCGAGTCTGAAGTCATCAAATTCATGACTCGAGTCTGACTCGAGTCCAAGTCACATGACTCGAGTCCACACCTCAGAGGTGGGACAAAGTCATTGTTATGCAAGTCCAAGTCGAGTCTGAAGTCATCAAATTCATGACTCGAGTCTGACTCGAGTCCAAGTCACATGACTCGAGTCCACACCTCTGCTGTTTACTCAATCTTGCATCTTGCCGTTTGTACTTTGGCCAAGAAATCGCCGCATCTTGCAGTCTGCCAGTTAGTTTGTAATGCAGCAAGAATTGGTGAAAGCTGCCCTCTGCTAGGATGGACGGCCTTGCGATGTCTTCAGTAAATGTTGATCGTACGCTGTTGTGCGTTTTTTTTTATCTACAAATGTTTATATTTTATACCGTGGTTCTTTTTCATTTACAAAAAAGCATCTTGACCGTTTTTGGTTCGTAAATTAGAAGCATTGAATAAAATAAAACTTTAAATTGAAAGTGCTCGGCAAGCGTTGAGTTTTTTTTTTATCGGAGCTGTTTATTGCGTCCGTCCCGTGTACCTCCCCGTCCGTGTGTCTCAGGCTGTGCATGTGGCCTCTAATCCAGCAGTCGAGGCAGTGAGAGTTGGTGCATCCATCTTCTCGGTTCTTTCGGTAAAGTCACGTAGAAGGGAAGTAATAAAAGAATAAAAATAAAACATAATAAAATAATTCTCACGACGTTTCGGCCACAACGCAAGCAGCCGTCCTCAAGTGAAGACCAGGTTTGTCGGGGAGACAGCGTCTGAATGAAACACCACCACGCTTGGCAGCGTATATTTAAGCTGGGTTGGAAGGGGGGGGGGGAAGGGGGCCTTGACAAAATAATTTACATATCAAGAGGAATTTAGCATATTTATGGGAAATGCAGGTATGTGATTAGTACTACTTGTGAAATGCGTAGGAGGTTTGGCGGGGGGTTTCAAAGTCGTTGGATCGCCACAAAAAGATGTGAAACTCCCCGTGGGCGTCGAGGAAGAGCCGCATCATGGCTCGCCAGGAGATGGCAGCACTGCGCTGCCGGTGGACTGATCACCATCTGTCTCCATCTGTAAGGGGATCGAGCAGCGGTCGGGAACCTATGGCTCGTGAGCCATATATGGCTCTTCCGGTGACGGCATATGGCTCCCAGACAATTTTGAGTTGAAAAAAAAATTTAAAAAATCAGTTTGGAACTGATTTTAAAATACTTGTGATATTGCTTAATAATACTGCGTCATTTTAAAGTAAACAGAAATTAGTTTTGAAGATAAATTTCACGGGTCACGGGGCCTCAACGCCTGCATGAAGCTCAACCTCACCACGTACGAACCAGACTACAAGGCCATCGGCAAAACCATGCAGCACCAGAAGTCGGATTAAAAGTAAGGCATTTAATTTATTATACGTTAAAAATACTATATGGCTGTCAATGAAATATATTTAGAAATATTTGGCTTTTATGGCTCTCCCAGTCAAAAAGGTTCCCGACCCCTGGGATAGAGCGTTGCCCCTTTGCGCAAGGCCTGGGGTTTTCACGCGACTGCTCCGGTTTTTTGCCCGCGTGATTAATAAACATGACTCACTAATTGTCTGAAATGTTAGTTTTTCTTTAGATAAAAGCCCAATGCATCGGCGGCATCAGCAGGGACCCCTCTTGGCCAAGAGCTGGACCGTCCCCGTTCTGCTGTAACGTGCACTGGTGCCTACTTTATCGAGGGCGATATTGGTACGTGCATTAAATAATTATAATAATAGTTCAATTTATAACGCGCGCAAATTAGGCGGACGTAATGGCCGCAACTCAGAGTCGCTCGAAAGCACGTGGCTTGTAGAGGTGAGTTAGTAAGTGTCTCTTGAAGGAGGCGATTGAGGTGATGCTGCGAATGTGCGGAGGGGTGACGGCGTTGCAGACTGTTGGGGCTGCCACCGAGAAGCGGCGCATAGACACGGTGACCATCCTGGATCTTGGTATCAGGAGGAGGTCGTGAGTCGCGCTGCGCAAGGCACCTGCCGTGTGCTGCGCTGCAAGTCGTCAAAGGCTGCTTGAGTCATACCACTCGGTGCGGATTTACCGGGAAAGCAAATGGATAAGTACGTGTCCATGTATCTGTCTGTGCACATCTGTCTGTTGTTGTGTCTGTGTTTTCTTGTGTTCGTGTGTCGGTGTGTCCAACAGTCTCTCCGTGTGTCTGTACACATGTGCGTCCCTCCCTGTATCTGTCCCTCCATGTGTCCGTCCATCCGTGTGTCCGTCCATCCGTGTGTCTTGGTGAAACTTCGCAATCGCCGGGAGCCCACGATCCGATCGCTCGAAAAACATTTGACCACACGTCCAGAATTCTAGTGGCCGGTATCAGGTTTTTTTGGGCAAAAAAAAAGTTTCGTTCCAATCCCCCACATCTACGGGGACGAAAATCCACGCATAATATTCCCAACATACGTTTGTTCTCAAAAGTATTTAATTTCGCAGTAAGGTAACCGGAGGGATGGGTGGGGAACACGCCATTCGTATGTTTGTAGACGATCCATTTTAGCTCTGGTTTGTGTCTGCAATTCGTTTGGGCAATAACCCATTGACATGATGTGGCGCTTGATATGATGTGGCGATTTAAAGCTTTCGTGACTGCAGGGATTCATCTTCTTGGTTCTTTCGGTAAAGTCACGTAGAAGGGAAGTAATAAAATAAAATATTATTTTATTTTATTATGTTATTTTATTATATTATTATATTATTTTATTATGTTTTTTTAAATTATCTTATTACTTCCCTTCTACGTGACTTTACCGAAAGAACCAAGAAGATGATGTGCCGACTTTATACACAAGCGTCGATTCTGGTTGGGATGATCGCCATTACGAGAGAGAATTCGATTTTTTGGAGGACGTCAAATGGCCGATTCGCTTCCCTCCCGTATCTGTCCCTCCCAAAGCCGGTTTAGACATTTGGTGCTCCACGGGACAAGGTCAAGGTTGTTGTTCATACTCTTAGGTTTTTTCGGTAAAGTCACGTAGGTAAAAAAAAATAATTAATAAAAGTAAAATAAAACAAATTAAAAAATTCACGACGTTTCGGAAGCAACACAAGCCTCCGTCTTCAGGTGGAACCGTCACAGCCACGACAGCTGTATCAAGTAAATGAGAGATCACAAGAAATACTACCCCGTATATATAATGGTTGAGGGGGGAAGGGCCAGGAACGGCACACTTTTTAAATCCTTTATATTAAGTTCACTTGCTTGCGTGCTTGCTTGCTTGCTTACGACCGTGCAAATCTTTCGGTCGTTTTTTTAACCCACTTCCCGTGATCCAATCGAGCTGACATTTTGCACACAGACTCGTTGTGCGAGACAATTAATGTTCGTGAATTTTTTTTCCCAAAATTTTACACTGCTTAGGGAAAACAAATTAAATATTTAATTACCAATTGCTTAATACTGGCAGACAATCATCTGACCCATAGGTGGCAGCCATCTCAAGCCAGAGGACGAGAGGACTCTTGCCGCCACGCATATAAAGGATTTATAGTGAAAAACTTTGTTTTTACGGGTTATACTTGTTTATTAATATGGTAAGGTGAGGCTTAAGACCAAGAGTAGACTGCATAACAAAGGACTGAGCCTTTGTTATGGAGAGGTGCGGTTTGTAACTAACACATGGCAAACATGACAAAAGTGTGAAAAAAGAAAACCAAATAAAAAACTAAAATTGGTAAAACAACAAACTGGCTGTCTATCAATAATTTGTTTTATTTTACTTTTATTAATTTAAATTTTGTACCTACGTGACTTTACCGAATAAACCTAAGAGTATGAATCCTTGCAGTCACGAAAGCTTCAAATCTAGAATTAAGTTGTTGTTGTTGTCGTCCATGTGTGCAAGCCACGGGTTGGAGTTTGATGGAAACAATCCAAGCAATCTAAGACCTCAAATGAATCACCACCACCACCGTCATCATGTCTCAGCACGTGAGTCAGGCTTGCTTAAGACCAATGCTGGTGACCTGCCAGATCTTCTTGGTTCTTTCGGTAAAGTCACGTAGAAGGGAAATAATAAAATAATAAATAATAAACCATCATAAAAATATTATATTATTTTATTGTATTATATTATTATTTTATTTTATAATGTTTTATTTTTATTATTTTATTATTTCCCTTCTACGTGACTTTACCGAAAGAACCAAGAAGATGAATCCCTGCAGTCACGAAAGCTTTAAATCGAGACCTGCCAGATGTTTCGAGGCAAGGGGTGCCCTCACTCCCGCCCCTCTCTCTCTCTGTTCCATGACACACGTGTTGGTGATGTGCACGTCTTCTTCGAACGCTGGGGAGCCGGACAAGCCCCTCTCTGTAGCAGCGTGGACGGCACCCTCGTGGTGTTCACCTTCTGAAGCGCTCGCTCGTCACCGTGGCGTGCGCGATGACCACCACCACCACCACAACCACCACCACAACCACCACAACCACCACAACCACAACCACCACCACAACCACCACCACAAGCACAACCACCACCACAACCACCACCACAACCACCACCACAACCACCACCACAAGCACAACCACCACCACAACCACCACCACCACAACCACCACCACAACCACCACCACAACCACCACCACCACCACAACCACCACCACAATCACCACCACCACCACAACCACCACAACCACCACCACAACCACCACCACAACCACCACCACAAGCACAACCACCACCACAACCACCACCACCACAACCACCACCACAACCACCACCACCACAACCACCACCACCACCACGTGACTTTTCTTTTGTATTGTGCGCGGTGCTTTCAGCGCCACAGCGCGTGGATTTGTAGCGTTTGTTTTCTTTGGTTTGCTGGTGACTGTTTTTCATCATATCGAAATCGCCTCCAGTGCGTTTGCTGCTGGCGGCAATAAAAGTTGTTTAAAAGTCAAAAGTCTGTTCCATGAAGTCAGTTTTGAAAAAAATTAACCCGTAAAAACAAAGTTTTTCACTATAAATCCTTTATATGCGTGGCATCGGGGCGGCTAGAGTCCTCTCGTCCTCTGGCTTGAGATGGCTGCCACCTATGGGTCAGATGATTGTGTGCCAGCATTAACCAATTGGTAAATAAATATTTATTTATTTCTCCCTAAACGGTGTAAAATTTTGGAAAAAAAATTTCACGAAAATTGTCACGCACAACGAGTCTGTGTGCAAAATGTCAGCTCGATTGGATCACGGGAAGTGGGTTAAAAAACGACCGAAAGATTTGCACGGTCCTAAGCAAGCAAGCGAACTTAATACTGCTATAAGGGATTTAAAAAAGTTAGGTCCGTATTTGGGCCACTGGGTGCGTTGCACGTGGAGTTTCAGCCAAAATCGTGAACGGCTTTCGGCATGCGGCCATGCAGCGTTAGAGATGTGGGGGCCTTTCTTCTCGGTATATCAACATAAAACAGTTGTGTTCAGATGTTTAAACATCAAATAAAA